ACGGGACGAATGGTCTGGGGTAGCACAAGTGTTGAAATTGTGAAAAAAACTACCCGGTATGTTGTAACAGTTAACAAAAGCTACCGGTAAATTTGAAACTCAAGAAAAAATACCTTCATCAGGAATGTCATCTTTCATCTTAATTTCTTCCCATAACTCGCAGATACTATCTAATTTGTCAGTTTCATTTTTCATCAACTTTCTAAAGTAAGGCACATCATGTTCTTCCACAGTCTCGTTAGTTTCCATAGTTACCTCTGAAAAAGAAAGTACCGGTGCATGCATTACTGGATTGCCTTTTGCACTTCACTATTATTTTGATCAAATATTAAGTTTTATTATCACAAATTTTCTAGTAGATTTCCCAACTAAATTGCCAAGCATGATGTCAAATTTGAATATTAGTTTTTTAAAAAAATTTATATACCTTTTTATTGAGGTAAATCTTCTAATGTGAAGAGAAATCAGCAATTTCTCAGTTCAAAAAGTAATTGTCAACAGATATTTGAAGATGAAAATTAAAACAAATAAAAATGTGCTTGTCTGCCTTGATTAAATTCACAATGTAAAACACTAAATATGTATCATTCAATATTTTTTTATACACAGGTTCATTTGACGTTTTGCTATATTTTGCGACAATCACTTCCACTGGCATCACTAATTGGAGCAATTTTTGTCTAGGTACCGACTAAGCTTTTGTCTGTTTTCATATTGCAACATTGTTGCTACTATACAAAGTTTAAATTATTTGTACGAATCTTATTTGTGGTTGCTTCATTGATAAGAACTTTCCCCAGTGAAGTTATTCTTACGAATCTTGTTTGCACTCGCTGTAAATTGGGAAAACACTGATAATTTCAGTGTACACGTTAGTAGCATATTTATTTATTTATTCAGTCAATCAAATTTAGTGTCAATATTTGCCACAATAAGACATTACAGCAAGTCTCAGAAGTATTGGGGCAGCCAATTTGCAAACTCGCTAGCGAATTGGCTAACTGCTTTGGTTTTGACTAAACAGTTGGCTTTCGAATCTTGCTGGCGCTGACTTGTGACATAGAGGGGACATAGAATGTTTTTACGTATTTTTACGTAGCCTGGTACATTTCTGGATTCTCCTGAATGATTTTCTTTGTTACGTGAGGAGTGATAATGTACATGTAAAAGGTAGTTTCCCTGGTCAGCCTGAGAACATAGAAGGTACTAATGGAAGGAGCCACCACGCCTCTCAAGTGGCCACTTAAGCCTCTTAACTGGCTTATTTCCTTTTGTTTCAACCCAAATTAATCCTGATAAGGACATTGTCTAGCTCATCTTTGATGTAATGATAGTTTGCGATTGTTTACACAAGTAACGAGTTAGCAGAGTATGATACAACATCGCCGATTTTTAATGTGACCATAAAATATATGCGCATTATGAAACTACGGTCATCACACATGCGTACTGGGTTTGTTTAGGTGTGAAAGGTCAAAATACGTATTTCACAACCGGAAATTCAACAGATGAACGTTTGACTTCACAAATTTCCCATGTTTTAAATATTAGCAACTGTAACTAGAACAAGATTCCGAGAGCATACAACAACAATTCCTAAGGACTCCTAAAAAATATTATCACAGAGAAAGTGTCTAGGCATGCTCTTCTTTCGATACTATCTTTGCTGTTGGTGTTCGCCGATGTCCGGTGGTCAAAAATTTCGGGAGCCAAACCATGCACTGACAATGGTACCATTGAATAATGCAATCATTGATTAAGTCTCATTACCATTACAAATACAAAATCCACGATATTTCATCAGTTCTTCAATCAATGTTATACTTGACAATTTTCCATTAAAGTTCGCCAAGATCTCCGGAAACAACAGAATTCAAACTAGACGCCATTTTCAATATTGTTCATGCAAAGTTCGACTATCGCTTCAGAACATGCTCTGAATATTACTGAATGCTCGAGATTAGCGTAACCCATTGTACGAAGGTGCTAAAAGCTAACAAGAACAATGTTTGTTCACAACTGATCATGGGGTAAAGCTAAAACAATAGCGTCGTGGCTCCTTCCGTTAGTACCTTCCATGCTGAGAATGGCCACAGACAGCTGGTGTACAAGCGACAATACGATGAATGCGATTAAGGCTAATCTACCGATATTTACTATATGGGGTAGCCATCATGAACATGGCTTGGAAGTAAATAAAGTTTCCTACAAATCAGGGAGAAAATCAGGGTAACATTGTGGGGGATTGTTGTAGTCAACACTGATTTGTGAGATCATATATCACAACCATGTAGTCATAAGCAACTGGATACAAATTAACCATTTGAGATACTCACAGCAAGATATCTTTATTACTGGAACAGTACTACATAGAGTTTACAACTAGCTAAGAACAAAGTTACAGGAACAGTAACAAGTCATTGTCAATGACACGTCCCCGTTCCGTTCATATTTGAGTGACATATACATTCAAAGCAGATCATGACCGAAATGCACCTGCATATGTACAACACATTGTGCTAAATCTGAACAAAATCCATCCATGCATGACTGAGATCCGGTTCTGGAATTGTGAAAATACGTGATTTTGATGCATTTTCGGCCTTAAAATGGCTATCATTTCGCTATTGTTAAGCAGATCATGAAACAAAGGCACATATCTATTTGTGACATGATGTACCATGTGTGTGTGAAGTTTGAACTTGATCAATCCAGACATGTCTTGGATACGGATCCAGAACTGAATTCTTTAACAAAATGGCCGCCAGTCGGCTATTTCGAACTTGATCCGAAAAAAAAAATGACGTGCATCAAGGTCCTATTATGTTTAATGTATGTACCAAATTTGAATGAAATCCGTCCATGCATAACTGAGATCCGGGTCCGGAATGGTGAAAATGTGCGATTTCAATGCATTTTCGGCCTTAAAGCGGCCGCCATTTGGCTATCGTTAATGAGATCATGAAACAAATGCACATACATATTTGTGACATGATGTACCTTGTGTGTGTGAAGTTTGAACTCGATCAATCCAAGCATGTCTCAGATACGGATCCAGAACTGAATTCTTTAAAACAAAATGGCCGCCAGTCGGCCATTTCGAACCCGATCCAAAAAAAAAAATGACGTGCATCAAGGTCCTATTATGTTTAATGTATGTACCAAATTTGAACAAAATCCGTCCATGCATAACTGAGATCCGGGTCCGGAATGGTGAAAATGTGCGATTTTGATGCATTTTCGGCCTTAAAATGGCCGCTATTCGGCTATCGTTAATCGGATCATGAAAAAAATGCATGTGCATATGTCCCATATAATGTGTGATGTATGAGTGAAGTTTGAACTCAATCGGTCCATGCATGTTCGAGATACAGGTGATCACGGACGCACGGACGCACGGACGCACGGACGGACGGACGCACACAGGGCAAAACATAAGTCCCCGTTTTCGGACTGCGTCCGAACGGGGACTAATAAGGTCTGCACAATGTACCAAGTTTCATTGAAATGTGATTAGAACCAAAAAAATATTAATTATTATGCTAATTAGAGAATTAATATGAACAGATTTTAATCCAAAATTAATCAGACTGTTTATTGTCCTAGAGCATTTATGTACCAAGTTTTATTCAAATGTGATGATCAATACTTGAGATATCAGTATTAATTAATTATGTTAATTAGGTGATTAAGAAGCATAAATATTTATCAAAAACTAATATGGTGCATAGTCTTAGGTTCATTGAAATGTGATGGGTACTCTTTAAAAGTTTCATTGAAATCCAATGAGTGGTTTTTAGACATAGAACAGCAAAAAATTAACTAATTATGCAAATTAGGTAATTAATAGGCACAATTATTTATTCCAAAATTAATCAGGTCTCTGCATAGTCCTAGAATATCTATGTCGCAAGTCTCATTGAAATGTGATGATTAGTACTTGAGATATCAGGTGAAAAGCTGAAAATTAACTAATTATGCTAATAAGGTGATTAATATGCACAAATATTTACCCCAAAACTAATTAGTCTCTGTACAGTCCTCAAGTAACTATGTACTAAGTTTCATTGAAACATGATCATTACTACTCGAAATAACAAAAGCTGAAAATTAATTAATTTATATGCAAATTAGTAATTATATGTACTGATATACCTTAAAACTATCAAGTATGTGCAGTGTCATATGACACCTATGTACCAAGTTT